CACTTCCCCAAGTCTTTCCCCTTAGACTGCCAACCTGGTCTCTGTAGACTCAAGACTTCCAGATTTTAGTTCTACAATTACTGCGGGCCAGACAGGGCCTAAACGTTACAGAGCCGTAAGGAGGCTAACTGTAGGCGTTCTCTAGCCTCAAGGAGCATCAATCTGTATCAATACTTTATCATCTTGATTGATATTTTAAGTACATCTTTTTGAAATCCTCAGTGTTGCCTCTTGCACTCATTTTTAGCTATTTTTCCATTCTTAATCTTTTAAAAATTTTAATATTTAAAATTGTATTAACCTACATTTTATCCGTTATCAAATAACAGGTACATGGTATATGAGGTAAAGAAAAATTTTAGACTACCTCACCTCTTTTTTTTTAATAGTGCTGGGAGTTGAACCCAGAGCCTACTGGCATGGAGCTGTGCCTCAGGCATTGCTCATCTCTTAAAGCAAAAGCTGGGTGAGTGTTTCCTCACTAGTGTGGCCTGAGAGTGATGGGGGTTTACTGGAGGCACGGGATGGTAGAGCCAGTTGTGGCCTTTTAGAGAAAGAAGTTGTGCTATTTCCAAATTCATACACTTAAAAACAAAACAGGATCGGAGTGCGGTGGCACACCTAGAATCCCAGCCCTCTGTAGGGCTCAGGCAGGAAATTGGAACCTAGTTTGGGTAACTTAGCATTTTAGTGAGACCCCCTCTCAAAGAAGAGGAACAAAAAACCAGAACAAATACCTGAACTATGCCCCTTCTGGAGCACTGAAATCCAAAAAAAGGATGCAGCACTATTTCAGATCACAACTCTTCTCAAACACATTTCAAAACTGAGGTTTTGGATCGACTTTGTGTGGTAAAGTGGTGCATTTGTTTAAATCTTCTTTAGCTCCTTCCAAGTGGGCTAAGAAAGCAGTACGGACAAATGCTCTGACAACAGGCCTGCTGTCCTTGGAAAGCCTGTGTGAGCGGCTGGCTTTCCTGGCTGCCACAGAGCCTCGCTGGCCCACGGCTCCCTCCACTGACAAGTCCTTCCTCCAGACGGCGGGGTGAGGTCACCGCACCCAGACTGTGCAAACACAGGCTCATGCTGAACATCTGCCCCCTCCGAGAGTCTGGGGTTCCTTGTGCTAACGGGGTCCTGCCAGTTGAACACCGGATGCTTTATCTCTAAGGAGCCCCCAGTGCAGCTCGGGGATGAAGGGGTCCCACGTGGCTCGCCTGGGGCGGATTCAAGAGCACGCCCATTGCTCCAGCGAGTGCAGCCCTCGGCCTTCTTCTTCTGCTGATGCTGCTTTGTGTACTCTCACTGCACCATGCCGTAGCTGTGCTTGCAGCCTATGCTGAGTCCTGTCTCTGGAGTCAAGAAGAGAGAAGAGGCCCTGGGCGCCGGCCACACAGGCCTTTCCTGCCTCGGAAATCCCTAGACAGCCAACTCTTCCCTCTCCCTGAGACCAGAGGTGAACTTCTCTTTTGGTTTCCCTTAACAATCCTAACTACCTGTCACTTAAACAGAAATCCTTAATTAAGGATAATTTTCCCAACAGATTTGACTTTTAAATAGATCAAGCCATTCTACACTGTTTGTCAGCTTAGTCAGTTTCCAAGGTGGCACTCAGCCCTTGTCACGGCAAGATAATGTCCCTCACTCAATCTCTGCTACAGCACCTGAGGAGGAGGTGCAAACTGGGGTTCTGGGGTGATGTGGCCCGAGACGCCCAGAACCCCGTGATTCAGCGCGTGGTCACGGCCGCTTCTGTACTCCGCCATATGCAGGTCCTGGCCAGCTACCTCCTTGTCATTGGAGGTGGATGCTCTAAATGGCAAAGGAAGTACTAGCTGGACCAGTAGTAGTAGGAAAGTCTAGAGGCGGGCGGCTGCTATGACTGGGGAACATTGGTGTGGAAAGCTGAGGGTCAAAGAGCAAGTACTACACGTTTCCTCACGTTAGGACAATCTAGGCCTGTCCAACTCTCTGTTCACACACAGCAAAGCCGTATCACACTGCCAAGCTGCATGAAAAGACAGCTGATTGTATTTTTTGAGGATGCACTCACTGCCTGGAATGTCCCTCTTGGGGTATGGTATCTCACATAAAGTATTTATAGTGGTGTTAAAATCTGCCTAGTAAGGGGCCGGGGAGATGGCTCAGTGGAATAAGCGCTTCCCTGGCAAGCGCAAGGGCCTGAGTTCAATCCCCGGTTCCAAAAAAAAAAAAAAAAAAAAATCTGCCTACTAGAAACTAGATTTTAGACTATGTTTCCCCACCTCCAGAGGTTGTTCTTTTTTTTTTAAAGATAAAAACAAAGACGAAGTGGACTTTTCAGTCCCAACTCTCTGGACCCTGTTTCTTCCAAAGCTTAAGTCCTCAGCAGCTCAAGGGAAATGTTCTACTTGCTCTAGCTCTAGGAAAGGCCATGTACGTGCAGATGACAGATGACAGAGAGATGCTCAGGGCACTATTCTGATCTCTGGCTTCAACTTGTCTTTTGAAATTCTCTCACGCTTATCCCATTATGCGGGGGGATCTTGACTGACAGTCTTGCTTTTGTGTATCAGTCAGCTTCCCAAATGCTGGGACAAAATACCTGACATGCTATTGGGAAGGAGAAGCTGAATCTGGCTCAGTTCCACAGGTTCCAGTCCATGGCCCACCGGCCCCTGGGTAGGGACTTTACGGCAGCAGAGCCGCTCACCCCTGAGCCAGGAAGCAGAGCACAGGAAGCTTTCCACCAGCGAGTGCTGCACCCACCCCTCCAGGCGCGACCCCTGTGGCCACCTCCTCCAGCAGGGCCCCTCCTGCCTGCACACTCAGCTACAGACTGATGACATATCACTCCCATGATCCAACTGCCAATCCTGTTGGGGTAACAACTGAGGTCAACCAAGTCACTTTTAGATAATCTCTTAAAATCCTAAATAAGTCTCAATGAGACATCCCAGAGTTGACTACCAGTATTGATCTGGTGTAGTTTCCCAGCCTAGGACGAGAGAACAGATACCCTACAATATCTGAGAGCCTATCCATTTCTGCTCTAAATCCCAGTATAAATGGCTTCTGCTGGGACTTACAGCTGAAACTCACTCACCGTTAATACACTTGCTGTTTTGTTTCATTTTGTTTTGTGCTAGAGATTGAACCCAGGCCCTAATGCATGCAAGGCAGGGGCTATACCACTGAGGCGCAACCCTAGCCCAACACTTGCTGCTTTTGGGATTTGCCGAGACCATTTGGAAGAGTATCAATATAAATAAAGTATATTTAATGGTTCATTCCCCTAAAATCTAGTCTTAATGTAAACACATGCAGCTAAACAGTCCTACTACGTTCTACTTTCATTTGAGTCCAATTTCTCAAAAATGTTTTGGTCCACTTGATTCCGACCAAAGGCTCGGTTGGAGGAGGTCATGATGTCACTCGCTTCCATTTGGTGGTGACCCCAAGGCACAGAGAGGGAAAAGGCCAGTTCAGTTTTGTTTGTCCACTTAAAACCAGACCCTCCAAAATATTTTGCATGGAAAGTCAACTTTTAATGTTTCTACTTGGCACTAATAAAGAAGTTCAAAATTCTCTAGGAAAGTTATTTTTCTCCCTAATATGATTATCATAATTCAATCCATACAGGAGGAACTGGGTGAGAATATATTATCATATCAATTCAGCTCAAAATAACTTATTTTCTGCTTTACTTTATTTGTCATAGTTGTCACCCATATGCAGCCCATGTGAATATAAAGTTTTATCTTATGCTTTAAATTATATCCCATTATAACTGGGATTATCCCTAACTACTGTTTTGGGAACACACAGAGGATCGAAATCTCTTTCTGTCACACGAGGCAGAGGCGCACAGGACTTCTGTCGCAGTCACGCACACAGCCTGCTGGGGCCGCGCTGAGGAGGCAAACTTCTCCACGACAGGCAAGAGCGCAGAGGGCACCCTGCACGTTCCGCACACGCACCCAGCGCCAGGCGCAGCCGGCCTTTCCTGTATGAGGGGGCCGGTGTCACTAGAGCAAGAAAACGGGAGAACAACTTCGAAAATGACTGTGTAGCTTTATAGTTGGTAAATTCATGATTTTGCTATATTTTAATGATATACACATATTATATATAATCTTTCCAAATGTATTTTGATTTATAAATCATTTATAAATCATTTGCATCTAAACAAAACTAATTGGGTTTTTCTCTTTTTCACAATGACTCAAACTATAAAAAGATTTTTCTGTCCTTCTAAGCAGATTTATAGATTCCTAAGAAACTTTTGATGGGCCTGTGGTAACCTTGGCTCTCAGCTCTTTCGTACAGTGGTCTAAGGTCAGCTCCCAGGAGACTTCCAACTCCAGAAATAAACCTGTCTCCCCGCTCACAACCTTCTCTGTATTCTGCAAAAGAAAAAATGAGTAACAACGCAGACACCACAACGCTGAGATCCAGTTGAACCCCTAAAACACACACAGAGGCAGTGGGGCTTCTCCTCCCAGGGTGACACACCAGACACAGAGCTGGCAGGGCAGAGCGCTGATCCGCCTGATTTTTTCCTACAATTTCTCCTTGAATGCAACCAGAAGAAACTGATCCCCACTGTCACACAGCAGTCACCAGCAGTCGCAAATGGCCGAGCAGTGTTCACAGCAAAGGCTTCTGATCACTGCTCTATGAATACAGAGACAAACCAGAGACAGAAAAAAGGCAGAGTCTTCCAAGAGTTCTGGAGAAGAACGGTGGTGACTTTGCTCAGCATTGCAAATATACTTACAATCCCGAGCTGTGTACCTGAAAACTGTTACAATGGCACATGTATGAGTACTGTACCACAATGAAAAATAAAATTTCAAAGAACTCTTAAAAAAGAGAGAAAAGAAAACAGGCAGAGCCTGATATGAAAGCATGTGTGAAACTGAGAGGGTCAGAGATGACTAAAACTTTAGAATGAAGACTTTGAAAATTTGAAAGGAACAGATCACATTGAGTCAAAAGTAAAACAAGTAAATTGCATAAACTTTTATTATTTATTAGCAGTATCTTCTATACTTTAAAATAGAACAAAATATCTTTTGAAAGATAAACTATTCGTAACAAAATACATCTCAAACAGTTTTTAGTATCGGAGTAGAACTACTGTGCTCTGTACCGCCTAGATTACATATGGCGCCCTTTTGATGAGTCCATGTATGCACACGTGTATAAATAATTTTAAGACATACACATGTATCTACATATGACTCATGTACACATAATTGTGAAGAACAGTGATCAACTTTCTAATCATTTAATAGCTGCACACATATTAGTGCTCACAGAACTAAAAACAGCAATATGGTTCCCTTTCTACTCAAATGTCATCTCAATTACTTTGCAGTAATAAGTTGAAAAAATACTATCATCTTTCTATACAATTAAGCAACTTTTTTACAATAACACATAATAAAATATTTTAGTTTTCTGCTTTAGAAAATACAATTTAATTCCATCTATTTTAATCTTTGATTCTTAAAACATACAATATTTTTCTCCATTTTGAGTGTGATTATTTGGTACTGCAGTTATTAAAGGTTATGTTAACAAACCTGAGTCAAACATTCATTCAAACGTCTTTTTGAAAGCGTGAAACAACAGCAAGAAGTCTCGCTGCGGCACACAGAAGTTCCAAGTACCTCTCCTATAAATATGCTATAAATAGCTCAGCTGTAGGAAGGAAAGCCCTTCGCGTGAATCCCTGCGCGCAGCGCTGCAGGTCGGAGTATCGTCTTAGGCTGCCTCCAGGGCGTCAGGCGCTGAAGTCGCAGACTCCTCCTCACCGGAGCGTGGCGCGGCCTGGGCCGCGGCGCTTGGGGGCGGCGCACGAGCACCCGCGGGGTCCTTCCGTCGTCGTCACGTGAGGGTCCAGACCGACCGCACGCACCGGGGCGCAGCCTGTCCAAAACCAGTGCATCTCCTTCCAGGAGAGAGTACTGAGCAGCACGGGTCCCAGTTTTCCTTCATTGTTTCAGACAAGTGCTGACAACCAGCTCTGCCAAAAGCAGAGCATGCACGCTGAATTAGTAAGGTCACTCAAACTACTTTTGTACATTCAGTGACAGAACTCTTGGAGACTTTAGACCTGGATTTTGAAGTACGTCACTCTCCGCTGAACTAGTATAAAACTAAAAGCAAGCAACATAAATTGTTTAAGGTATTTCCCAAAAAACCCACTTTCTGTGAGGAGGAAACAGAAGCATCTGTAATGTGCAGTCATTTCTTAGAGAAAAGCCACGTTCTCGGGAGAGGCGTCCAGTGAAATCTGGGTGCCAGCCAGACGCCACGTGTTTCAGGCCTCCGAGCACGCAAAGCTCACTTAAGGGGCTCAAGGACAAAGCGGAGGGGGAGAATCTGACCGCATCACAGCAAGCCTGCTCTGCCGTGGAGGAGAGCGCCGGAGTGCTCCTGAAGCTCAGCGCTCTCGGGAATGTGCTGGCGGCTGTGCTCACTCTCGAGACCTTCTCCCTTACTTCATTCAACAGGAAGGGAGTATCTAGTCATCGTAGATAAAACCATACCAAAACCACACGTGTAAAATACAAATTTTTGGTAGCAAACAGCAGGAAAGCCTAAATCAAAATATAGTCTAGTTTTTACATAATTTTATATATTTATAAATTTATCAAAATAGTCTTTAAAAGTCCACAATACATACATAATGTAACACTGTACACATAAATGCAAAGGCAAATGTATTACCGGAATACAGTAAAAATAACCTTTCAGAATACCAAATTTAACATTTGAACTTTCTGAAGAAGTGGTGGAAACTCCATCCACAGTTCCAGCGCACTTCTAGCAGCCCCTAGCAGCTCTCTGGCCTCAGTCTCTGCCCGGGCCGCCTAGTGCTCTAGCGAGGTAAGGCAGCGCTAGCCTACCCTCCAGCCAGCGGTACTCCTCCACAGCAGGCAGCAGGCTCCGAGGGCAGGCCTCAGTAGGGGGCATATTCGGACTGGAGAGACTGTGCAGGAGAGACAAAGGGAGGTTAAACTCCATCCCAGGTCAGACTGCTAGGAAGCAAATCACGTAGCTTCCTCCTTCAACACAAGGCGGTTTGGGTGCATTATATAAAAGATAAATGAGCTCAACTAAGCAAAAGAGAAGGAAAAATGGGGGAAATAAAACATTTGCTAAGTTAGGTTGAAACACTCAGTTACATAAAGGAATTGCAAGAAAACACATTTTAAAAACCTCACTAATTTATTCATGGCAATTAAAATTAAGGATTAACTGAAGACGAAGAATTGCCTAAATGTGATTCTTAAGCTTCAAGGAAATAATACTGATTTTTACTCAAAAATGTTCAATGATACTTGAAACTATTTGAAGTTAACTGAATGAACCTTGAAAACATGCAAGCTTTTTTCTTTAGTACATATCCACGACATGATAGTGCCCACAGGAATTAGTAGACACTCACATAAAATCCTGAGAATGTCTGGCATTTAATGAATGCCTTACAGATGCTTTCCGTTGAGGGACCTTAGGACCAAAGGCACGGATGCGGAAGAGTCCTGCGGCCGTGCCTCAGCAAGTGGCAGGCGACACTCAAGTCACCAGAAGACGCCCTCCCGTGCCTCAGTAGGGCAGGCGGCTAGGACGTGCAGCTGCATGATGCACAAGAGGCCCCAGCCAGGAAAAGATGCAGCCCGAGAAAGTCAGCCAAGTGGTTTTTGAGCAGCCACCAGTAATTACAGAGAGAACATAAGTCAGTCTTTATGAATCATGGTACCTAGTATGAAGGGGTTTAGCAAATTATTCCAACTCCAGTACTTTTTTTTAACAAGTTAAGTTTTTTTTATTCTCGATCTAAAATAAAAATAGTAATGAAAATAGACAAAAAGGATCTTACTCCTCTATAAGATCTACTTCATTTAAAAGTCATAGCTAAGATTCCAAGGCATTTTCTCTGGAGGAGCAACAACGTGAGATGACAGGACACTCAGATTTCAGGCGGTGCGCGCTCAGGCACCAGGGCTGGGCTGGGCTGAGGGCCCTGGCAGCCTTCGGACTCAGCCACACTAAGAAGACACCAAGGAAGAACAGAGGGCCCGCCCCCCCTGAAGGCCGGCACAGAGGGCTGAGAGCTGACCATGGTCCTGGGGCAGCCTAGTGCACACCGACGAAGCACAACTTCACACTTCCTTGGCAAGCACGGATGGGGCCGCTGGCTAGACACAGTGTTCTCCTGCCGCCTGTGCATCATAAAATGACAGACTGGCATCTCTAATCTGAACTCCCTTCAAAACTTCAAAATCTAAAACTTTTGAGAGCTAGCATAATGCCCCACGTAGAAAATCCGCGCCTGACCTTACGTGATGGGTCACGGTTAACACAGGCACTCTAAAAACACCACGGGAAATCACCTCCCGGCTATGAGCACGAAGCGTAAGTGAAACATAAATGAATTGCACAGACTTGGGTTTCATCTTCAAGAGACCTAATATACGCAAAGCTCAGCATTTCCAAACCAATCTAAAATCCTTAACACTTCTGGTCCCAAGCATTTTATAATTTTATAGTAAATGCACAAATATACTTTGTTTTTGAAAAGTACTACCACTGTTGCAGTTCATTTATTTATCAAAGAGGTTAAAGGTAAACCTCTCTAGAATTACCAGACTAGCCCCTCACTTGGCAGGTCAGCTGTTCCAGGTCAGTCGTTTACCGTGTGCTTTCTGCCTGGCACAACTTGGCACCACTTACAGTCACTCGCCAACTTCTCTGAACAAGCCGTTTCATAGATAAACAAGCCGAAGACCAAGCGATGGGGCAATGTGCCTAAGCTCATGTGCGCAGGCAGCACAGCCAAGTCCAGCCCAAAGCGCAGGCACGCGCAGGCCCTTCCCTCTTGCGCCCGGCTCAGCGCCTGGTTTTCGTCTTGTGACCACCACATACCCAGTCCCGCTCTCACCCCAACAAAAGCTAAGGCAGAGAACATCCTACGCGGGGTCTGAGCCCACGTGACCACACAAGTACTAAGTGAAATGATGCGTTTTAAGATTCTTTACACCAGGGCTGAATCCAAAAAGGACATTCAGAAGTATCCTAAAGTTTAAAATAAAAAATTTTTAGAAGAACATCCATATTTCAGTTATTCTGATTAATGTTTCGATTCTGCCTGGCCAATATTTTTGTTGCTATCAAAAAAGAAAAAAAAAGGGCAATAACAAGAGAGAGAACTGCGGAAGAAGCGGATCTGAGGTGTACACGCTGTTTCGTAAGTTAGCACTTATTTATGTAGCCAAAGCATTTAAATTTCTCAAATAGTACATTCAAACTGACTTGGCCAGTAAATTCGGCCAGGCGAGCATGTGCTATCAGTAGGGCGAGGTGGTGGGTATGTGGTACTATCACACAGCAAGAGCAATAATAGTGCAGCAGGACGGAACCTGGAAAATAAGTAAGTCACCGTACACTTGCCGCCTCGAAAATTTTCATGTCAAAATAGAAGTTTCTATCAAGAAATCTTGTTCCCTGAAAGCAATGAAACTTGACATAAAACAAAGTGTTAGGTAAGGAGATCAAGACGGCTTGTTCTGTTCTGGAAATTCACGACTAATCTGTTTTGGCAGGTGGAGGTATTAGCTTTAAAAATTTTAGCTATTCTGGAGGTGTTTCTTTTTTAAACAGCCCAGTTACCTAATCGCGATAGGCAAATGTCTCATAATTATTGACACAAATATTATACTATACAGATGATGTCTCATAATTACTGCCAAAAATATTGCACTACACAGATGGCTAGTAAATACAACTACAAACTGGCTATTGAAAGCGGCAAATCGTAAGGGATAATCCAAGACTCAGATCCCTAGACAATGTCTTACTGCTCAAACACACCGGGACGAAAGCAGCTCGGCAGCCTGGAGAGGCAGTTTCCTGCAAGGCTAAGATCCTGCTCCAAGACTGCCACGCGCGTCGCCACACTCCTCCTCCGCTACTCTTCCCCATTTCCCAAGTCCCTTAAACAAAGAAGATGGTGCACTCACCATCCCTGGCTTCCATTCTAACTGCAGAGGCCAAAAGCACCTAAAATTCTTTGTTTTAATGTGATACATAATTAAAGAGCAAAAATGCATATTTGGTAGCATGGATTTTATATATAATCCCAGGGCTTAGAGTTTTAACGACCACCACAACGCTGGGGAAATTTTATCTGTAACTGCTTTATTTGCAATTTATATATAACTATATGCTTGGGTCTGTACGCCTTTGAAACAGTTTCTAGATTTTTTGTGTTGTCTAAGACTTAACATGCAAAGCACGCACAAAGAAGATACTTCTCCAAACGTGGGGGTCAAAGTGCTTGGCTCTGCGGGCATCACCCTGACACCAACAGGTGAAGACCTGTGAGAAAGTCAGCTGTGAAAACGGTGTACACACCTTCCAGCAGTGTTCTCTCTGCATTTCAGGAAGCCCAAGATTTAATAAGCCAATTTTAGTTAATTAAAATGCTACATAAAATATTCTTTCATCTTCCTACATGGTTCTTGATAGAATCTTTTTCTGGGAAAATTTAATATATGCTTTTCAACAATCACAAAGAACTCAATTGTAAGATGACAGATTGTTGACACAGAATTTGACTCACCAAGCATTGCATGTGTTTCCAGTTCATCTGAACGCCAAAGTCACATTGATGCAAGTTCAATTTAAGTTTATTTTCTCTTATGTTAGTAAAGCCAAATTTCTAGAAAAAACAGAGCACTTCCAGACTACTACATGCTAAAGTAAAAGCTGAAGAAAAAAGAAAAGCAGGAGCTGAAAGGTGGGGTTTTTTTTTGTCAGTGCCTCCCACGCTAACAACAACGCCTGTGCTCCTAACCTCCTAGCTTTAAATCCGCGAGATGCACTGCCCACCTTTTAGTTCAATAAATTATTTATCCGTACTTCTTATCCCGTAATCCCAGGAAACACAGATATTTCTGAGAAGTGTAAAAGCCGGTAGAGGAGAAAAGCTCATACAGCTGACCGTAAGAGTGACAGAGTGTGAACAAAGTTCTCGAACAGCACTCCACGTGGGCAGGGCACGAGTGCTTCCCAGTAACTATTAGGCTGGAACAGGGAACAGAAAACCAGCAGAGAAAGGAGGGAAAGCAGCGCGAGTCGCCTGTCTGCTCTGGGCAGGCTGTGGCACTCGCGGGTGGGCAGACAGGACTCTGGGGAGGGCGGCACGAAGGGAGGATACGGCCTCCCGAGGAGGACCCACAAAGGGCCAGCCAACAGCGCCAGACTCGCTCCTGTAGGCAGGCTGCAGCCCTCGACCAGTGCCAAGCGTGAGAAGAATCTGATCGGCTCTGAGTTAGGAATCTAACAGCAGCTGTGGTAGAGGCGAGGTTAAGACAGAGTGAAAGCATAAAGAGCCCCAGTGGCTCGTGAAGACCTCAATCATGGCAACAGAGAAACACTGCAGGGAGCGGGCATTTCCAAGGGAGGACTCGAGACCAGATGGGGCAGAGAAGGCAGAAGTGGTACGGAAGACGATTCCAACCAGGAAAGCAAAACGGGCAATACCAAGAACCAAAGAGAAGCAGGCAGCTGAAGGAAGCAGCACCCTCGCCATCCCGGGCAGCGAGCTCAAGACATTGGCAATGGAGTCCCTGCCCGGGAAAGCTCCAAAGCTGATGCCTTGGGCGAAATTACTTAGTGCCCGGCAAGGGAGACAAAGAAATGGTGACTTAAAGGTGGAAGGAACAGGGGAACGTAACAGCCCCCAAATTGAGGAAAATTACAGGAAAAATGTAGTTAGCACTGCCAAATACTGCAGAGAGACTAAGGAGGACTAACTGGAGACCGTTAGGAACAGCCTTAAAAAGCCAGCAGGGACTTGGGGGGGGTCTTATCAGTGGGGAGGCATTCCAGGTACACAGGAAAACATTAGATGCGTGAGCAAGGGGCAGCGGGAGCTTCCCTTCTCCGAGGATGGCCACAAAGAAGAAATGGTAAGGGCACAGGACC